ATGCCTGCAATCCCAGCACGTTGGGAGGCCGAGGCGGGTGGATCACCTAAGATCAGGAGTTCGAGACCAGCCTGGCCAACATGGCAAAACCCCGTCTCTACAAAAATACAAAAATTAGCCAGGTGCAGTGGGTGCCTGTAATCCCAGCTACTCGGGTGGCTGAGGCAGGAGAATCACTTGAACCTGGGAGGTGGAGGTTGTGGTGAGCTGAGATCACATTGCACTTCAGCCTGGGCAACAGAGTAAGACTCCATCTCAAATACAAACAAAAGACAGACAAAAGGGAAACTCCCAATTATTCAGTGGCTACTAAGTGTTGCTATTTCAACACATTATCTCTTCCACTCCTTCCAACAATCCAGCAAAAACTTGTATTTCCTCTAGTTAACAGATGAGAAAAACTAGGTTCAGAGAGGTCTCGTAACTTACCCAACGTCACACGGTTAATATCCTACACAACCAGCACTGAGCCCAGCTTGCCTGCCTCAGAAGCCCAAACACCACATCACCATGTGGGGGAGTTGAGAGGCCCCTATGGGCAGAGGCCTTCCCGTCTGACTCATGCTGCGGGTGTGAGAACTCCCGTCTCCATTTACAGACTCGTGCCGCACCCTTCTTTTCCCAGGCCACCTCACAGCACAGCAAATGCAAATGAAAATATGAATATTGATATCAAAATAGTAACCAAAGTTGGAATTTCTGTGATTGAGGCTGCAGCGTATTTTAATGTGTCGGGAGACAGGGAGCTGACAGTTGTGTGATAAGGTGTGAAAACGTCTGTTCTACCAGAGTCTACCTAGCTCGCCCTGCCCCACGCATGCTTACTCACTCCCTTCCATGGGAACAGTTTGGCCAGAAATTCAAGCCTCTGTGAAAGCAACTGTGAATTTGCTCCTTTCAATCACAGAGATTCTAAATCAACAAGCTCGATTTGTCTTTTAAAGATCAAACATTTGAAATCCCAGAACTTTGAGAGGCCCAGGAGGGAGGATCGCTTGAGCCCAGGAGTTTGAGACCAGTATGGGCGACACAGCAAAACTCTGTCCCTAAAAGAAATTAGCCAGGCATGGTGGTGCATGCCTGTTGTCCTAGCTACTCTGGAGGGTGAGGCGGGAGGATCCCTTGAGCCTGGGAGGTCAAGGCTGCAGTGATTGTGCCACTGCACTGGGAGACAGAGTGAGACCCTGTTTCAAAACAAAGAAAAACAAAACAAAACAAAACAAAAAAAAAAGAAAAGAAGAAGGTCAAAGATTCAGAAACTTTACAAACGACTGTGAAATGGGCCCATTTGGCTAAATCACTTTGATACTGAAGAAAAAAGAGAAAAATTTCAGGGGTTCCTCAATAGGCAAAAGAGGATATCCCTATGTGGCTGTCTTAACATTGCCTGCAGGTGAGGGGAAATGTATTTGCGGCCACTGCTTTCAAAGCGGGGCATTCTCATGCCAGCCCTGCACGGTGCTGCAGCGGAAGGCAATTTGTTGACAGTCACGAGCCATCCAGGAGGCATTCTACTGGCAGGGAGACACTCCAGATGAAAGCACTACACTCTTCCTTAGAAAGCAATGGTGGGGTAGCATCTTTGCCATCTCTTCTTTTTCCTAATTTTGAGCAAGTCAGACTTCAAAGGAGGCCAAGCTACAGAAGAACCTGATCACCTTGCTCCATTTATCTAGAGAAATATGTTATCCATCCTTCTTTTTTTTGTTGTTGGGTTGAAGCAGAGCAGGTATGGAAAAAAGCCACACCACCGGATCTATTAACAATTATTTGCCAATGGTCATACAGATATCCTGAAAGCTCCGATTTCAAATGCTTTGAAAATCTGCAGCACAAATGAACAAGGGATGGAGAAGGGGCCCTGCTCAGTCATATTAGAGATGGACCCTCCACACACCATGGTGACCTCTCCACAGGTCGGCCCCACATTTTCTATTTGCAATTCAAACCCAAGGCGAGGGTGAAGAGGGCAAGCTTGGGTTCTTGATTATATCTGCAAGGTCACCATTGCTATGCAGAGTTAGAGGAGGCCAGGTGGCAACCCAGCACATTTGAAAATTGGATCTTTGTTGGAAACTGCCTCAATTTCATGGCAGAAACCAAACTTGAGATGTCTATATTAGAGGCATCTGGGGAGCCACGAGGTACATTCGTTGCCAGATGAAGGGGAGGAGGGAAAGGGGAGAAGGACAAAAAAACCAAGGAAATATTTTCTACTGCTATGTAAGAGGTCAGGCGCAGCCAGATCCTAAATTAGCTCAAGAAAGGGCGCTGGAGAGTGCTGGAGCCCCAAGTCCCGTAGATGCGAACAATGCTAGAGTTTCAATTACAAAATAGCTCTCTTCTAAGAACAACTGCAAAATATCAAGTCTGTGGAAATCTGTACGACCGAAGGGGGGAAAAGTGAAAATTGAAAAGGGTGCACTAATAGATCTGTCAACAGTCCAATGGTGACAAGCCACATTTCTATAAAATGCCTTCACCGTTTGTGTCACCTGAAATGTACTGACACTCTCTATAGAACATTATCTCCTGAAGCTATTCTTGAAAAGACTGGCAGGGGGAAGGGAAGGGGAGGGAGACATCTGCTTTAGATACTATCAAGGAATGGAAAGGGAGAGAGCGTGGAAGGAAAGTGATCTAGACTGTTTAAACAAACCTTTGAACAACCACATTAAAAAATCTGAGCTTAACTGGTTATTTGCAGAAATGTTACTTATCATAAGAAGGGGATTTTCCTAAGGCCAGAGGCTTGCACATACAAGTAGGGAGGTAAGGTGATGTCTATAGCTTAATGGTCTGCAGAGAGTGGATCTGACCAATGAGGGCGCATGGGGCCTTTGCCTGAGGAGGGGCCCCTTTCTTTGCTTACTTCAGGGGATATTCTAATACCAAGCAGAGCCTCCAATCCAGGCATCAAGGAGGGAAACCTCCCCACTCCCTGCCACTCCGTTTTATATCTGCAATCCAATTTGGCTACATGCAACTGGGATGGGAGATAAAAAGGTATATTTAGGGACTTAAATAACATCCAAGTAAAGAATGCCACCTGCCAGTCTCTGGCAGGGTGCAAACAGACTACAGTTTAAGGTCTATCTGGATTTACATTACAGAGCTTTTATTTCAGGATGTGAATCTCAGCTGTTAAAAATCCACTCTCAGCCGAAACTAAGAATTTAAATGCTTAGTCAGAGCAAATTATTTTCCAATTAAAAGAAAGGAATCAATTCCTTCGACCCTTTCAAGTTAATTAGAGGTCCTTTCTGACTTCAGAAAATTAAAACTGCTTTCAATTTTTTAAAAACTGCAGAGCTAGACAAAGGGCCTTATTAGAGTGGTACGTTTGGGGGCATAGGGATAATGAAGTAGGTGATCCCAAACATCTTCTGGAAAACAAAACACTTGTTTGAGGAAGGCAGTGTGCAATGCAATAGCAGTAAGAACACACAGCCACCAGATGTCGATGGAGCTGGAATCCAATTCTAGCTCTGCTAGGCTCAGGGTGGCCCTGGGCAAACGACTTCACCTCTGAACTGTGGTCTGTTTACTCACGAAATGGGAACAATACTTCACAGTGCTGTTCTGAGGACTAAGTGTGAAAGCTCCTAGCCTGGACCACCCTTAAGAGGAGCTTAAAGAAGTGTGGCAACAGGCCAGGCACGGTGGCTCACGCCTGTAATCCCAGGACTTTGGGAGGCCGAGGCAGGCGGATCACGAGGTGAGGAGATCGAGACCATCCTGGCCAACATGGTGAAACCCCGTCTCTACTAAAAATACAAAAATTAGCCAGGTGTGGTGGCATGTGCCTATAGTCCCAGTTATTTCGGAGGCTGAGGCACTCCAGCATGGCAACACAGTGAGACTCCGTCTCAAAAAAAAAAAAAAAAAAAAAGGTGGCAACAATAATAATGATGATGATGCCATTCATAATAATATAAAAAAACCCTCCCTGTTACAGTGACCTCACTGTCTTAAGTCTAGAAATTCAATCTGGGGGCCTAAAAAGGAATGAATTAATGGCATTCGCAGCAACCTGGATGGGATTGGAGACTCTTATTCTAAGTGAAGTAACTCAGGAATGGAAAACCAAACATCATATGTTCTCACTCATAAGTGGGAGCTAAGCTATGAGGATGCAAAGGCATAAGAATGACACAATAGACTTTGGGGACTCAAGGAAAGGCTGGGAAGGGGGTGAGGGATAAAAGACTACAAATTGGGTTCAGTGTATACTGCTCAGGTGATGGGTGCACCAAAATCTCACAAATCATAGCTAAAGAAATTACTCATGTATCCAATACCACCTGTTCCCCCAAAAGCCTATGGAAATAAAAAAATTAAAATGAAATAAAATACAAAAAAAACACGTCAGATTAAAAAAAGAAAGGAAAAAAAAAGAGATTCAGGCTGGGGAAATCTTAGCTAGGACATAGCTGGGTGAAGACAATCAGAGCCCTCCCCTCCACACTCAGAGTCTCAACAGCGCCCACTGGGTTACGCTCACTTGGTCCCCCAGGGCGAGGTAAGCCCACAGCATTCTGCTCAGCCCCACCCCTTGTGCTGTGTCTGGGCGGTGGCCATGTGCATGCTGGACCATGGCAATCATTCCCCAGAGATGCTCCTTGGTTTTGGTTACAACCGGCCCTGGGGCAGAGGTCGGCCATAGGGGGTGGGCGGATGCCAGATGGGAACACCAAGCCAATTTCTACAGACGCCTGTGAACCCAGGCCTGGTGGGGTGGGCAAGGGACAGCCCGACAGTGGTAACTCTGAACTTGCTCGCCTTTGTGGGTTTAAGCCAGAGTCTTAATGTTATTTGAAGACAGTTTTTTGTCTGTGAATATTTATAACAGTGTGAAAACTCCCGGACAGCTGGTAATGCATTTTGAAGTGTGTTAACAACACTGTATCAAACAGCCCTCTATTGATCCCCTCATACTTTTTTGTGGCCATGCATTTCATACATGGTGCTTATACATTTTGAATAAGAACTTCAAGTACCTTTTGCTTCAAGCGGTTTTTCACCTCTTTTATTCCCATTTTTGCATGATCTTTTGCCTGCATGAAAAATTAATTTAAGTTAAGATTCCCTTTCTGTTTCCAGCAGGGACTATGCTTGATTTCAGTCCGTCGAGAATCACCTTCTCTGATTACTAGAAAAAGGAAGGAAAAATGGGATCATCAAGTCGAAAACATAATGGCTATGAAAACAAATACAACAGTAAAAGGTTAAAAAAAAAAAAAAAACCCTTAAAGAGGCTGGAGAGATTTTATTTTCTGCATTTTGATGGCACAGATTTTTTTTTTCTTTCCCTTCCAAAGCCCTTCTTTTGCTCTCTATAATTATTTATCTCGGCAGCCTGGTGACAGCTACCAGTAAGAGTACAGCAGCCGTGTTTCTGGCTGGAAGATTCAGAGTATCCATTCTATTTCACTAGGGCACGGCCCCAGGACTGATTTTCTGCCCAGGCTGAATGGCCGGAACAGACACATTGCTGGGTTTCTAAAGTGCCATTTCCTAAATCTCATTTTGGCAGACACCCTGGCTTTGATTTCAGGTCATTTTAGACCTGTGTGGTTCTGCTGGCAGCCACCCACCCTGCTAAAATAACCACAGTTTAAGCACAGAGAGGACTAACACAATTAAAAATGGAAATAAAATAAAACCACCCCGCTTCAGTGGCTCACGGTCAAATTAGCCAGCAGGAGAAGTCACAAGAAAAAATACTCGATGCTTGTGAAAGACGGAGCGCCGGGAACAGATGTGCTCTCCTATTTTCACTCGGCTGTGGACACGAGTCTTACAAATAATGCATTTCCTATAGGGCAGTGATCAGAGAGATGATGAAGAATTTGGGACAGAAATTAAGTGGTGTATGCCACCACGAACACTCTTCAGTAACCTGCAAAGGAGCTGCTTTATTTTGACCCAATAATGGGGATGCCCGCAGGAAGGCTTTGCCAGACACCAGACAGACCGTGCTTCTGGGTCTCAGAAACAGAGGCAGGGTGCAGCCACCTAGTCTGCATTTTAAAAGCTAAAACCAGTAGCCTCCCATTTCTCTACTGTGGCAAATGTGAGCACCAACACTAGAAATAAAAAATGTCACTGAACCGGTTACAATAATCTGCTAAATAATTTGAAGAACATTGAGACCTTCAGGAAAGAGCTCGAGTCATCTCTGCAACAGAGGACCAGGTATACTTAAGAGTCTCATCGCTTGGCTGGGTGCAGCAGCTCATGCTGGTAATCCCAGTACTTTGGGAGGCCGAGGCAGGAGGATTGTTTGAGCCCAGGAGTTCAAGAACAGCCTGGGTAACATACTGAGACATGTCTATCTAAAAAAAAAAAAAAAAAAAAAAAGCCAGGTGTGGTGGTGCACACCTGGTGTACTGGGGAGGCTGAGGTGGGAGGATTGCTTGGGCCCTGGAGGTCAAGGCTGCAGTGAGCTGTGATCGCACCACTGCACTCCAGCCTGGGCAACAGAGCAAGACCCTGTCTCAAAAATAAGTAAATAAATAAAGTCTCATCATGCTAAGGGACTGATCTGTTTTGGCTCCTGAGAGCAAGACCAGTACTTACGAACTTGTAGACAGTCTTCATGGCCGGGTTTGCTTTGGTCTTTACAGTATTCAGAATTGCTCCACTTCCTTTCTATAATAAAAATGTCAATTAGCAATTTGGGCTGAAGACAGAGTCATCCAACACCAACAAAGACTGCTTCTCTTCAATCAGGCTAAGCAACATTTCAAAGGTATGTAAATGCACATCGAAAAATAGGCCTGGATGATAGCTGGTCCCAGCCAGTCAGTTATGATCCTGGTGGAAGGGCTCTGGGTGGGAGCTGTGGGTGGGTGGGTGGGTGTGTGTGGACTGGGGATGAGGAGTGTGAATTGGTGGAGGGGGACTCTAGACTCAGTGCTCTGCTTGGCACCTGTTCCCTGGCTGGAGGGAACTGCATCACAGGCTGCCTAAGGCAAGGGCTTCCCTATGGGCATCTGTGGCTTTTCAAAACATTCTAGTTACCACGGATGACACTCAGGTAAGTTTAATAACCATGGACTCCACAGCTGACACCAAGCCGGGGCAGAAAGTGGGGCCCTGATCAGCCAGGATCGTTGGGAAATACATTGCCCTCACCGTGCAACTTCCTTTTCTTGCCTTGGTTTTCTGTGTTGTTTTTTTTAATCTCTCTGGTAGGCTGCCTTCCTTAACATCCAAATCTTGAGAAAAGGAAAGAATGAATAGCCACAAATGTTCACCATGGCTTTAGTTAAATCCGACACAGCAATTTCTCGCTCACTTTCTTTAGGAGCAAAAGTGGGAGGAAGGAGGAGGGAAGGCCACCCCGCTCCTAAAGGAGGCAGTGGAGGGACCTGAAGTGTACAGGGCACGTTTTCATAGCTGTCCGTGAATCCGTTTCTCAGTCTCATCCCTGCAGACACGTTGTGAGGGTTCTGAAGGCACCAGGCCGAGGGAGGCCTGGTCTCTGCCTTCCAAAACCTCCAGTCGGAGAGGCGGGACAGCACAGTAAATAATTACAACAGCAGGTGATCATGGCTGTAATGGCTGTGTGCACAGGGAGCATGGACACTTGGAAGATCAGGGAAGGCCTTGGAGGATGAAACATTGGACTTGGTCCATGAAGGATAAATAGGAGTTGATGTAGGAGATGGGAGGAGAACATTCTAGGGACAGGAAATAGCACATAAAAGAAAATGCAGAAGCTGAAAAGCCATGGCGTATGCTGTAACAAGGGGCTCCTGTACTGCACCATGACACATTCCCATGAGTGTATCATCAGAGAAGCAGCAAGTGAGGCTGGGAGGCCAGATGAGGCCAGCTCGTGAAGGGCCTGGAATGCCAGGCTAAGGGGTCTACACTATGGAGCATTTTTAATCAAATTCATCACAGAATCAGGTCTGTGGTGGTTTAAAAAAACTGATTCGGATGGAGAGAGGCTGGAACCAGTGGGTACCTAAGAGAATAAGATATAGTAATGTAATTATTGGTCTTAACATTCAGCAAAATTTTTGGTAACTGCCCACATTAGAAATTTTGAGCTTTAGTTAAAAACATTGCAATTTGACCTAGAAAGCATTCTGTGTTGTAGGACAATGGGAAATTTTCACCCACTCATTTATTCCATACTGCTTTCCAAAATTACTCAGTATCCCATTTAAATGGTCCTTTGGAGTATTGAAACTCCCTTTATCAATCAATCAACAAGTCCTTATTACTCCTCTCTGATTTGCCAAGTGCTGTGTTTGGCCATACAAGAGGAACAAAGGAAGTCTTTCATGAAGGAATTGCTTACTCTCCGCCAACTGCAGCCACTTCCAAGGGACTTGCCTGGCAGCAGTGCACTGACGCATTAGCAGGAGGGAACACTTATCACTTGATGCTGGAGTTGCCTGCTTCGTGCCCGCCTCCCCAGCAAGACAGGGAGCTCCCCCAGGGCAGGGCCTGTACCCTGCTCCCTGCTGCATCCCTAGTACTCAGCATGGTGCCTGGCACACAGTAGGCCTTCAGGACACCTCAATTATAAACTGATGGAAGGGAAAGTCAATATTTCGAATTCTTTAGAGGCTTCAGAAGCCCTATGCCCCTGGCTTCTGACACATCAAGATACTTCACAACAATAGTCAGCCTCCCAGTGATGTGTTCTCCATCTTCCCAGGAGCCTTTGCCATGAAAGAGGTTACACAGCAGCAAGAGGGCACATTTTTGGTTTGCTTGTGATTGTGAAAATTGCTCTGGCCCTAGAAGAAGACCCCCCCCCACAAATGCTCTGAAACAGCAACATTCCATTCAGTTCTCCTTGGCTGGCTTCCTGCAGAGGAGGAAGCCTCTCGTGTCTTTTTCTGACCCCACCAAGTGATGGCTTTGGACAATCCCACTCTTCTAGCCTCCATCTGGCATGAGAAGAGCCTGGCTTTACAAACAAAGGCATCTCCAGCAGAGAGAATGGAGGGCTTCGGGATGGAAGGGGAGGTACAGGGAAGCGGAAGGCTGCCAGGAAGCTAAGGCGGGAGTCCAGGGGGCTCAGAATTGGGTGCACGCTTACCCGGACGGTGGAGAGCCACTGATGGTACAGTTTGTCACTGCCTGGGGAAAGAGAAGTCAGAGAAGCTGTTACTTAAAGAGGTGATTTGTCCTTCGGAGTCCTTGAAATTGCTTTTTTGTTTCTTGAGATGGAGTCTCACGCTGTCGCCCACACTGGAGTGCACTGGTGCGATCTCAGCTCCTGGGTTCAAGCAATTCTCCTGCCTCAGTCTCCTGGATTACAGGTGCCCGCCACCACACCTGGCTAATTTTTGTATTTTTAGTAGAGACGGGGTTTCACCATGTTGGCCAGGCCGGTCTTGAACTCCTGACCTCAAGTGATCCACCCGCCTTGGCCTCCCAAAGTGCTGGGATTATAGGCGTGAGCCAGCACGCCGGGCCGAAATTGCTTTCCCCATTCAGGACTTGGGGACCCCTGTGGAGGGTCCCACATCCTGTTCTTAAAGGAGGTGGCAGCGAGCCACTGCCACAGGTTTCCCTCTCAAACAGAGCCGATCACGCAGTGCCCTGACTGCAAACTCAGCTGCCACCCCGCTACCTGCTGGCTGGAGGTCAGGCTCCGAGGCCGCCCTGCCACTCTCGTCGTCGTGCCTCGTGAGCTCTCCATCCTGTGCTGCCGTGACGCTGCATCACCTTACATCCCACCACAGGGAACTACTTAAGGGACCACAGGATCTGTAAGCCAGCATCCTCACAGGCCTCCAGGCCCTTGCAAATACAGCTCCCTCGCCTAGTCACCACACCCTACTCTCTCTGCTTAGTAAACGTGGCAGGCAGCTCAGATGTGATGTCCTCTGCAAGCTTCTTCCTCTGAACAGCCCTCTGGAATAGGTAACAGCCACTGAGACATCCATATTCTGGGAAGTACTGTGAGGGGCACCAGAGCAGGGACCCCCCAGGGCTGTGTGTCCCATTGAAAGGATCCTGCTGGACACACACTGAACCCTCAGAGAGTGAGACGGAAAGAAAACGGAGGTGTTGGTAAACTCCGTTCATTTTAAATGGTGGGTCTTAATCCACTGAATAAGTGAACTCAGTTTAGCAACACCTAAAGCCTGTTTTCCTGGAACTCACATGCAACCATTAGAACACAACTCTAGCCTGGCCTCCTTTGTTAAGCCCTCACATCACACAGTGAGGATTAACAGAGCCCTATTCTAACTGCACCAAAATCTGTTTCTACTCCTTTTCCTGCACTGGTTTAATTTCTGTTTGTCTTTAGTCATGCATTTCTCTCTCCTACCTAACACTTCTTGAGGGCAGACTGGGTCCTCCGCTTTTTACTCCATGGGGCTCTGGACATAGCAGGTGTTCAGGAAATGCTTATCAGCGACTGGCTATTGCTGTTCGTAGACTTCACGGTGATTTTCTTAACTGTGCTTTCCACACAGCACAGGCTGCAAGGGCCTGCAACGTTTATAGGTGGATACTGTGCCTTGCTCTGCGAGCTTAAAAACTGTCAATTGGATTATCACAGTAGTCCAGAATAGACACACACCCAGCAATAAAAGGGGAGTGTGTCTATCCTGGACTACTACCAGCCAGCAGCATGGGTGTTGTTTTGCATCTGGTTTTGCCTTCGCTGCCAAAGACTGAGGCAATGGGATTTGGAACGGTCAGATTGGCATTCAGGAGGCCGACTCAGCCACTAACACCTCTCTGGGCCTCAGATACCTCCTCTGAAAAATGAGAAGACAAGCCCTTCAGTTCTTCAGATCTACACAGACCAGGCACTCAGCAACAATTTGTCATATTTTAAAGAAACAGGGCTGGGTGTGGTGGCTCACGCCTGTAATCCCAGCACTTTGAGAGGCTGAGGTGGGTGGATCACCTGAGGTCAGGGGTTTGAGACCAGCCTGACCAACATGGTGAAATCCCGTCTCTACTAAAAATACAAAAATTAGCTGGGCATGGTGGCACCTGCCTGTAATCCCGGCTACTCGGGAAGCTGAGGCAGGAGAATCACTTGAACTTGAGAGGCGGAGGTTGCAGCAGTGAGCGGAGATCACGCCACTGCACCCAGCCAGGATAACAGAGCAAGAGTCTGTCTCAAAAAAAAAAAAGAAAAGAAAAGAAAAAGGAAAAAAAAAAAGCTTACTGTACACGATCCCCATGCCAGGGACTGTCCTGGATGACTGTACAAATCTTCCCTCATATACTCAGATTTAATCTCAAAAGGAATCCTGTGAGGTAGGACATGGTACTCTCAGGGCATGGATAGGAAGTTTAGCTAAAGGAGGGGAAATGACTCACCCAGGGTCTCGCAGCTTGTGAGGAGACAGAGTCCTGACTTGAATCCAGGCCTCCTAACTGAGTACTGCATGTGCTTCCCAGTGGACCACGCTGGCCACTACTTTAACTAGACTTTGTCTACACAGGGGGAGCAACTGACCCTAGGCTGGGGGATTTCATACGGGCCAGTGTGCATTTTGTCAGAAAACGAAGAGGAATTCTTCAAACATTTCAAGGCCAAGCTTGAAATCAGTCTCTTCCTAAGCCCCAGTAAAGGAAAAGCAAGTCACTGCCACTGCTTGTCAAATATGCCCTATACGATGGCGGCCTGCAGCCCCGGAAGGAAAATGAGATGCTTCTCACCAGCATACTCGCCCATGTTGATTTCCTCTTCAAAAACATCACTGAAACCTTCGCCGGAATTGAGAAGATCTAATCGACCATCAATAAACTATAGAAAGAAAGAACAAAAGCACAACAGTTCTTACGAAGAAAAGGGGGAAAAACCATTCAGCTGGGCACCTTACTGTATCCAAGGTAGGAGTTTTCTAAAAGTAAGGTTCAACAGGCAAGTTTCTTTCTAAAATACCGGCTGCATGTTTATGATAACTTGGAAAACCACATGGCAGATCTGCAAAGGATCTGTCTGGTCAGTGACTGCTCTCTTCACCCAATCTCCCTCCCCTGAGCCTCTTTTGCCTGGGGCCTGAGTCCCATCCATGCCTGTGGCCTCAGTGCTTAGAGTGGAGACAGCCGCAGAAATCCCCGCCAGGGAGCCAGACCCAGGCCAGACCAAGGAGGGTGGCACCTGCTTGAAGAGCTGCAGCTGCGTGGCGTTCTGCAGGAACTGCCTCATGGCTCCGGAGCGGTAGTGGGACACGAAGGCTTCCTCACAGAAAGTGATCGGCTCCTCCTGGGAAGTGCAGAGGGGAGAGGAGGGTCATTGGCATAGTGTAAGAGCCATCAGTTCTGAAATTCCTATATGCAGAGCTTCCCCATCTGCTATTTTTTTTTTTCGTTTCCTTTTTTTTTTTTTTGAGATGGAGTGTCACTCTGTCATCTAGGCTGGAGTGTGGTGGCGCTATCTCAGCTCAGTGCAACCTCTGCCTCCCAAGTTGAAGCCATTCTCCTGCCTCAGCCTCCCAGGTAGCTGGGATTACAGGTGCCCCCCACCATGAGTGGCTAATTTTTGTAGTTTTAATAGAGATGGGGTTTCACCATGTTGGTCAGGCTGGTCTCAAACTCCTGAACTCAAGTGATCCACCGACCTTGGCCTCCCAAAGTGCTGGGATTACAGGTGTGAGCCACTCTGCCTGGCCCCCATCTGCTAACTTTTCTAACCCTCATGAGTGCAGTAGCTATTATCAAGGAATTCATTTCCTTTATGGATGAGGAAGCTGTTTCAGAGAGGAAGAGTCATCCTGCAAAGTCACAGAGAGGGTGGGCGGCAGAGCAGGAACCAACAGTCAGATTCTACACCCCATCTCCCCTTCCATACCCCAAGGGCTATTTAGGGAGACATGCCCTCCAATGTGAAGATTTCCAAACTTTTCCCTTTTAGCAGCAGAACCCTTTATTCAGATAGGATTTTATGCAGAAGCAGCCCTGCTAGGCCGGGCGCGGTGGCTCATGCCTATAATCCCAGCTCTTTGGGAGGCCGAGGCAGGTGGATCACCTGAGGTCGGGAGTTTGAGACCAGCCTGACCATCATGGAGAAACCCTGTCTCTACTAAAATTACAAAATTAGCAGGGCATGCTGACTCATGCCTGTAATCCCAGCTACTCGGGGGCTGAGGCAGGAGAATCGCTTAAACCCAGGAGGCGGAGGTTGCGGTGAGCTGAGATCACGCCATTGCACTCTGGCCTGGGCAACAAGAGCGAAACTCCGTCTCAAACAAAACAAAACAAACCCAAAAATGAGCTGAGCCGAGTGTATTGGCAGGCGCCTGTAAGCCCAGCTACTCGGGAGGCTGAGGAAAGAGCAGCAGAGGTCACAGTGAAATGAGATGGCACCATTGCACTCCAGCCTGGGCAACAGAGACTCCATCTCAAAAAAGAAAAAAAAAAGTTACATAGAAGGAACCCTGTTACCTGAGCTCCATAATGCACAGCTCAGCTGCTCTGGAGAACCTGGGCGTAGAGCAGGGGTGGTGGCTGGGTTCTCCAGGCTTAGCCACCTTCTCACCCCCCTACATTGCAGGCATCTTTGCAGTCCCTAGGTCACTGGCTATGGGACATACTTTGAAGACCATTTACACAGTGATCCTAAGCAATAGCGAACTGAAATTTTAAAATAATTAAAGAACAGGGATGATAAAAAAGAAAATATACTATCCAATCGATTTTGTGCTTATGCTGTTTGATAAGCAAGTTTGCTTTTACCAAACCATATTTTATGAGTCAAGACGATGATACCCTGAGTTTAAAAAAAAATCCTATCCGTATAGAGTTAACACCTTAATCTTTCTTTGAACACGTCTGGAGTGCTTATCTACACAGACAAGTCTTTAATTTCAGCGGTGTATTCTCAATTCTGAAAGATCAGACTTTCAGATCTTGAGCTGAATTAAGGGTAACACCCCACCCCCCAGCCTTGGTAGCAAACACAGAGATGTTTGAAGCTCCACTTTTATCCTATTTTAATGAGTTGCATGAGTGTTAAATTTACTGTCGAGCTTCTGTAAGTTCTAAGAGTTCTTCCTGCTTAAATCTAGCCAATATTAACTCAGAAACTGGGCAGACTTATTGCACAAGGGCTGTGAAGATGACCCAAAAATATTAGGGTAAGGAGAATATTTATTTTTATACAGTTGCACCCTACCTAATTTTACAAATGATCTGAGGCAGCTTATATGAGCATCTAAAACAACAAAGAAAAACATCAGGGCTGCAAAATACATAGATATATAAAAAGTATTTATTTGGGAAAAAAGTAGCTGGGTGTGTAGGTCCTATGTGGCTTCTAAGTTACAAAATTAGCTCTGAACTTCCTGGCTGCTGGAGCAAGAAGGAAAACAATGTAAACTTTACTTTGTGTACAAGAAAAAAAAAAACAAAAAAACCCACACTAGTTCCTTGGGAAAAATAGCTTTATGTTCCATTTATTACGTTGGCATGGGTTTATATCTTCCTTGCTCAATAGCCAAGAAACCAGCTAGTGATAACTAACAGAAGCCCAGCTAGAATTCCATTCCTGTGGCTTGGAAGTTTTGTTCTCACTCTTGGGACCAGAGCAGGGCAATTAATTCTCTCTCCAGGTGATCTCATCCATGCACCCAGCATCACTCATACACTGATGACTCCTGACAAATCCTGGCAGCTCAGACACCTTTCCGAAGCTCTATACCCATCCATCTCAACCTCCACCTGATGGCCCACTGGCGTCTCAAACTCAAAATAGCCTGAAACTTCCAATTACTATCCCATCAAGACTGTGCCCCAAATGCATTTTTGTTTTTTTCTTAACTGTCATTTTCCACGGTTACCCACAGTGGACCTATCGGACTTCCTAACTCCTTCCTATTTTATCTGACAATTGTCTCACGCTCACTCCTGGCTCTCCATCTCACTACCTTGGCGCACACCTGGACAGGCTTAAACCATGGTGGAAGTTTAACTCCATGCTCCTCTCCTGTTTCATCCCTCCCATTCTACTCCAACTCTTCTGGCTAGAGCGCTTTCTAAAATGCAAACCAGACCACATCACTATCCTATTCAGGAACTCTGCACAGATGTTACCTTTGTGTGATTATTTGGCGAATGTCTCTTTTTCCCACTAGACTATATGCTTCACACAGACCGGAATGGTGTCTGTTTTGTTCAACACTATGCGCCTAGCAACATGTGTGGCACACAAAAGGGCCCAATATGGGTGAAGAAAGGGAGAGCTCCTTAACCAGCAAACGCACCCTCCCGAAGCTGACCCTGGCTTCCTTTCCTAGAGTCCTTCTGTGTCACTTTGCCTCTGGCCTTCCACATACCTCATGCTCCAAACACATCCCATGATCACACGCCACATCCTTCCTTCCCCGCCGCCGCCTTTGCTTTTGCCAGTTCTATTCCTCCTTGGACTGTCCTCCGGACACATGCAGGCCTCCGTGTGGCAGTCACTCATCCCTGCTTGCTGCTCCCAGTGCCGCGTGCACTCCTGGGCGCTGGAATAGTCTTCACTGGTATCCCCTCTCACCAGGAGTTCAAGGGGCCAGAGGCTGAACTCATCTCTATACGCCCCAGGTAGAGCCCAGCCCCTAACTAGAAGCTCAGGGATGTTGGTTAAAGAAGCACGAAATGAGTTGAACCCTGCTTCCAGCCATAGGAGCCTTGTGGTCTCAGTGTGTCTCTGACACTGCTTGGCCTGATGGTAAAGAGGTCTCAGAGCACAATGCCAGGCAAGTGCCACCCGTGCACAGGGAGTTGAGCTGCTCCAAGGAAATGCTCACTGAAGTTGTTGGCATTCACTCCTGGAGCTTTGGCCCAGGGTTGCCAGGAAGAAGTCTGCTGAGGGCCCGATACATTCAAGAGAGTGTGGAACCAGATTCGTAGAGGAGGGTAGCCTGAGACAGAATTTAGCTGTAGGAGAGCAGAAAGAATCTCACCTTTGGGGAGACACAAACATGTTGGGCCTGTTGTGTACTCACGGGAGGTGATATCCCCTGGACCAGATGTCTGTGCCCTAAAAATGCAACAGGACATGACACAGAAGGGAAAGATCAGGGGGAATGTGACAAGGTGCTTTTTCTGAAAAGAGTTTAAAGAACAGCATCAGATGTGTGAGTTAGACATGGGAAGAAAGTCTACCACACGATGTAGTGTTACCAGAGTGGGATGGGGTGGGGGCAATGGGTCCACAGGAGTCCGAGGAGGAAAAGGCAAATCCTCCCAGGGCAGCAGGTCAGAAAACATGATAAGTGGACACTTCACCTGGGCCTGGAAGGGTGAATAGGAGTTAGGTGAGCAAATCCTGTCTGTTCAGGGCCCAACTCTTCTATCTTAATCCTGCCACAAGGCAGTGACGACGTCACCCAGAACCATGCATAAAGGTCTGCATGGCACCAGGCACAGAGGGCTCTTTTCCCTGGAGCAACTCACCTTGTAAGACAAAGGCAATAATCATAGTTTAACTCTGTGTGAGGCACAGTGCTATGCACTTCACAACTCGCAACATTCTGGAAACTTTTATGCAGTCAAAATTATACTCAAATTTTAGAGGAATAACTGATGTAAAGACATCTGCCCAGGTGACAGGATTCAGACATTGCAGAGTCAGGGTTAAAAGCTGGTGGTCTCCCAAGCCCAGGTGTGCAGCATGCATGTGGTCTACTGCAGGCCTGGCTCCTCCCTGTGGCCTCAGTCCTAACTGCTTGCCCTCAGATCTCCCTGGACAGGAGAGTTCTCTTTAAAATTGGAACCCTGGCCGGGCGTGGTGGCTCACGTCTGTATTCCCAGCACTTCCGGAGGCAGAGGCGGGCAGATCACCTGAGGTCAGGAGTTCGAGACCAGCTTGATCAACATGGTGAAACCCTGTCTCTACTGAAAATACAAAAATTAGCTGGGTGTGCTGACGGGCACCTGTAATCCCAGCTACCTGGGAGGCTGAGGCAGGAGAATCGCTTGAACTCCGGAGGCGGAGGTTGCGGTGAGCCGAGATCACGCCATTGCACTCTAGCCTGGGCAACAAGAGCAAAACTTCATCTCAAAAAATAAAAACAAAAAAATAAAATTGGATCCCTTTAGGTTCTCCTGGATGCACAAAGCACCAGCCCTTCAGAGACACACGGCTCCTGGGAGTAAATAAGCCGCTGTGAAGGCTCTTTCTGCCACAGGCCCAAGGTGAGGTGCCAAGCCACTCCCACCAGCTCGTCCACCTGCGTCCTGCAAGTAGAAATGGCAGCCCCTACTCCACTGTGCATGGAG